CAGGCAGATTTGGCGGTACTTCTTCAGATCATCCTTGATGCCCTGGAATGGCAATGGCACGATTGTTTTTGACTCTTCACGCTTTTAGGTCACAACTGAATCGTTTCGCTAGAGCCCTCATAAACGTTGGAACAGCTGCTCTAATGATTTCAGTTGTCAATCTCTCTCTATCTGGGCACTTCATTCCTTCGTTTGCTGCGCGGCATCCAGAACTTCGCTTATGAGGACCGGGAATACACCTTCCCTTTTGTTGTTGGAGTGATGGAGGAGGGATGCATGTCTCTAATGCAAAGAGCCGGAGTGTAAAAGTTTTGTCAGAGAAAGTGCATCTCAGCTCTATCAGTCGTTATTTGGCCATCATCGTTCTTCAACGTCGTGGTGATCGACTGATAAAGCTTAAACTCTCCTGCGTTGTTGAGAGCTTTTGCGGTCTTTAACTGTTTTCGCAGATTTCTGTAGTCGGAAGGTCTTGATGTTCACGTTCAGCCTCCGTCTAATGATCTTTCGGAGAAGAGAGTACTCCACCCTGTCAGTCTCGTCATCTCTGTTCATTTTCCTCCCTCCGTTTCATTAGCAAACTCTTCGTCTTTTCTAAGATTCTTCCTTTCGTTCCCTTGGATGTTACTGCCTCGACTAACTTTAAGCAGTCCCTCAGTTTTTATACATACTTCTCATGAAGTCATTATGTCACTATCTTCTTTACTCATGTGCGCTTGGAACACCTCTGCATCGAATATCTTCCGTTCTTTTCTGGTATCAGGCATTTGCAGTGCCTTCCTCTCGATCTTCTGCTCGAAGGTTACCCTGATCCACACCAGTTTATTGTCACTCCCGGTGTTAGACACTGTTAGCATTACGGTCATGTTTCGAATTATATTGCGTGTATCGAACGGAACGAGGTCGATTTCGTTCTTCGCCTTCGCATTGTTCATGATCTATATCCACCTTCTTCTTGAACTAGGTGTTGCCAGTGTACAAATGTTTCATCTTTGCTGACGTCACTAACTAATTATCCCGTTCATTCTGCTCTCTGGTGCTGTTTCTTCCCCTTGTCCTTTCTTCTCCAACTTTTCATTAATGAAGATATGCGAGGACTTTTAGACTGTGTTTGATAGAAATTCTTCCCTTCCTTTTCGTCGACTGTAAGTATGAGAACATTGGTTTGGACGATCGTCAAGATCGCCTTCTTGAAGGCACAGTACGCCCAGCTTTGATGACTTAACATTGCAGGATACGACTTTGGGGTCTCTGCTGTTATTGACTGCACATCTGATTCTTCCTACATTCTTCCTCTTCCTCGTCCGCGCTTTCCTCTTCCTAGCCAAATGGAACCACCGTCTTTCCAGATGCCATTTTTCCACTGGCTCTCAAAAAAGCCAAAACTATCGCAAGCCATCCGTCACCTTTCCTCCGTTTTTTGCAATGACGTTTCTTTTGTTGCCAGTGTTGTATAGTCGTACGTGCAACCCGCAGAAGAAGTCGTGGAACTGGTCGAACGTCGTTGAGGCCAATTATTCTTTGTTGTTGTGAGGTTTTTTCCCCGCTGCATGACTGACGGTTGCCTGGGGAATTTTACACAGACGAGACCCCAATTCCGACAAGCTTTTTATAGATGTTGTTTCTTCTGACTTCTCACGAACAGCGTTTGCCGAAAGGCAGCGTTATAGTGGCGGCTTTTTTCTGTAAACAGGCGAGTCGTTTTCGCCTCTTCGTGAGACCGTCGTTGTGCAGTGTGATTTTTTTAATAATCGAACTTATCGAAGCCGAGCCTTCGTGGTCTCACTGATGCCTCTCCATGCCAGCTTGTTTGTGGCAGCTAACCGCCATATCTAGTGGTCATTTTTCTCTCGACAACCCGAGACTCACCAGATGATCAGCAGCTAGGCACACTGAGATTATTATACTTTGCTTATTTACTATTATTTTTATATGTGATCAGGTCGATGCTGTTTGTTTATTACTTAGGATCTGAGCTTGGCCGCTTGAGAAGAGGAAACATGCGTCCTAGAATCCACATGTTGGAGAACAATGATATGAACCTTCCGCTGAGTCCGAATCGTCCTGTAAGTTTCGACAGTGTTGGACCGTCAGTTGGGAATTCTGGTGAGTACTATGATGTATTTTCTGAGGAATTTTAGAATTCATGTAAATTGACAATGTGGTTTCGTAATGACAATGATTAACTGTTTTTTTCTCAGAAATAATTAGTTTTCTACCCGCTTACGATAAACCATTTCAGTTTATGTGAAAATAGAAGCTCAGAGATGAAACCTGCATCGTGCAATGATTTACTATTTCAACGTGATGCCACCGTTGCGTTTGGAGGTCGTAAAGATGACAGGCATGATGTACATTCCGGTACTAGTTGCCTGATTGATCCGTCCTTTCTTACCGGAATGCAGCTTTCTGCTGTTGCTCTTTCCCTCGTAACATCCGCCACAATTTCATTGTTTCCATTTTTGCACATTTTAAGTGACATACAATGAATGCTAAATTACTTTGAGACTTGTTCGTTTGGCTTTAAAGTACGAGCATTCTTATCCACCATCCGAAACGTTACATTTCGATTGCTTCACCGCAGTTCTTCGTTCATAGCCTAACAGTCGTACCCTTTACATTCTACAAACCTTACCACAGATTAGAGCTTCTTGAACCATTTACTGCCGCGATTTCGGTTATTCCAATCTGTGTGGCCACAGTGGCTCTTGTTGTTCATAGACGTTGGCGAATTTCACCCATGTGATTACAGTTCCGTTTTGGGATGAGTCACGACATGTGGAGAGGAAGTAGTTTCTGCAACTGAGGGCCGGTACTATGGTTATTTATTCTAATATGCTTTCTGGCGTCGGTCATCGCGTTTAACTCAGTTTGAATTAGCATAAACTGTTTTTTTTCGAAAGTTGACATTGTTATTTTGTTCTTCTCATCATCTGAGGTACACCGAGGTCAGGCGGCTGAGAATCTCAGAAATTTAAGATGTCTGACCGATAGAAATGGTGCTTAAAACGTTAGACAACGTTCATTTCTGCGGCAAATGTCGTATCGTTTTCGCAAGCAGATCTGCCACAATCCGAGCTTCGTACTGTCCTCCAATTGGTGCTTTTGGCGTTAGGAAAGTTTTGTATACATTTCCACTTCTTGAGTCGTCTTATCAAATCGTCCAGACGCCGTCTCTGAGTTCATCTAATAGTTAACTCATACCGTCGATTATCAGCCCTTTGAGGATATTGCGAAGAGAGCGTTGTTAGAAACTGTCTGGACGAGCTCCGTTACGTTTCAGGATAGCCAGTGCTTCAAGACAGTACCTGAGTACCATGAATACGGCTACTTTCAAAATGGTGATCTTCATGTCTTTTATTTTAGACCGATCCTTCCATGTGTCATGCAGTTTTCCATAATTCATTGATGCCGGCCTAGTACGCCCGTTCATTTCCGGATTCACTTCACAGTCGTTGACCAAACCAGTTTCGAAGCAGCCAAAATGATCCATCCTGAGAGTAAATGACTGTAGGAGGACCTCCGGATCGATGTTAGGATGAGTTGACTAAATTCTCTCAATAAAAATGGATGAAAATGGAAGAAAACATAAATCAGTGGCAAACTTTTGGAGAGGCGTTTATCCAGCTGTGGATGGAAAGGGGCTGATCGTGGTGTGCTGATGATGGCAGCAGACATCCTCATAATCTTCGCCATTTTGGCGTTGACTTGTGGCCTCAGTACCAGAGCAGTGTTGCACACGCTTCCAGTGAATGCCGTTAGGCCGTTTGTGGAGTCGCTCAGCAGCACGATGTCATCGCCGTACTTAGTCTACTTTCGAAGCACAGCCGGCTGTTTTGAGCTGAGTCATTGACTGAAGGCCAGTTCCTCATTATAATTTGGAACGGTGCTCTTCTGCATGGCGTAGTCCTATAATGTCGAACGACAAAGGAGGACCCCCATTCCCTTAAGAAACTTAACTGGCTATATAGAACAAGTCTGACAACATTGTCAAGTTCCACAAAATCATTTGCATCAAAGGAAATGCCTCACAAAATTCTTATCGAAAGGATAAGCAACTGGATTAAATAAGAAAACGTTGAGTTTCCTCTGCTGTCTGCGAGTCAGAGTAATTTATTATTTATATTCTATGAATCTAAGGCTTAACTTATTTTAATTTTACATTTTTAGAATTTAGCTCCCAATCTTTCGTTTTATGTCGTACTTTAGGCTTTCAAGGATCAAGAGGAATGCTGCGAGTAACACCGTCCGCTTTCCACCCGATGAAACAAGACGATGGAGATATTGGTTTATTTTAATGATCAGCGAGAATCAGACACCAATGTTTGTTCATCGTTCATTCTTGTTCACAAATTCAATATGTATGACGCATTGTGGTCTTAATATAGGTGTCACTGATTTGCGCTCATTTATTAAAATATGTTTTTATGTTTACGGTCAGCACCTGACTGACTATTATACCCAACTGTTGTATTGATTCATTTACATTCAATAATTTACTATTTATGGTTGCAAACTAGCAGCTTTAGGAGTTTTCTGCTACAATGTAGATTCTCCGCCAATTGACGAGCTCCATGGTTTGGATTCCAAGTCGCGGTAGTGCCAGATATTTGCCATATTCCAGCCAAGTGGTTGTCGACCTGTCCCCCATAACCACCTGCCACGTCGCTGTACGATAGATAATCTCTGTTTCAAGATGCCGTTTTATTTACGTGATCTGCAGGTGCTAAAGAAACCCATGGCATGTGTAAATGAAGGGACTGTGTGAACTGGCGGTAAAAATCTCGAGAAACGACATATTTGTTATGTTAACTAGCGGTTTGAACAACTAGGAAGTAAATCAATAATATCTAAGGTATTTTTCTTCCTTAAGCTATTTATGTAAATCTTGTTGAACAGGACCGTAAGGGCTTTATTTCATGATGAGTTAAACCTTCCTGTTCCAAATACCTCGAAACCTCCCTGTTCGTTTTCTAGCCCTTCGCTGATGCTACTCAATGCTTAACCCCTTTTAATGATGGAATGTTTTTAAACAGCCTGTGCTATGAAGCGGATAGATGGATACTAGCGTTGGATCACTCATAATGCTTGAACTTGGCCAACAAGTTTTCCCGCGTGTCAGCCAATAGACATTTTGTGGGCATAACCACTTCATTATGATGAAAAGAATCGTTATCATACCTCATCCTGATGATTATGAATTGTTTTTCATGAATGCTTCTACCACTGTCACTGTCTTCTTCGTTGTCCAGGTTTATGAGGTATATAAATGGATCCAACGAACTTGGGACGAGGTGATATGCCTCTTGAATGACTGGTGAACAAACGAGCACTCAGTCGCATGATCGGTTCCGCAGTGCGTTCTCTCTCCAGGTGCTGTCTCTCTTTTGCCCATAGCAGAATGAACACCAAGACTCACGCAGTTCCTGACAAAAGTGGACAATGCGATATATTATTTTTAGTGAAAAGCATAGTAGCTTAACTAACATTCTATTCTGTCCACTTCTTGATGGAATCGTTTGATTGAATTCCCCAGGTAAAGGTGCATCCTCTGAAATGTGTTAGACACGTACGAATCTCTACGGTACAGATAATGTTTTGGGCTACGCACAGGGAAAAATTGGACGGATTAATATCATTCAAAATTAGGAGCCAGTCGAAGAAATTGCTAACGCTCAGCACTGAATTTGTCGATGAAACCGTTCGTAGTACGAAAGATTTGTACGTGTTATGAAACATCTATCGTGAGATAATTCTAGCTCAAATACCATGGGGCCATTGGCTGGTTATACTTATAAGCCTAGAAGCGCGTGGGCGATTCAACAGTCTGTAGAACCTGGTCTTGGAAAGGGCATGTACCCTTCAAAACACTCCGGTCCACGTTTATGTTGTAATGTACTTGCATATTGTAACTTGACAACGGGCCAAGTAGTGTTTTGAAACCGGCAGTTTCTGTAATCAAATGCACATGCGGATCGATCCCGTAAGAAACAAGAACACCATAGAATTAAACACAAACAAAAGAATAATGTGCATTTATCAAACATATTTCCCCAATTAATTAAATAATGCCAACAAAAAAGTACATCCCCTTTCTAGGGGTAGCTACCATACGTTGCACTATGCTACATATACATTATCCGCATCCGACTTGTACTCCTCATTATGGATGCGCAATGAACGCAAGTCGAAGCTCCCCTAATACTCCCTTTCCCTGCTTTCTGCTTCCACTGCTTGCCAGGAAATTTGACATCGGATCATCCCAGCCTCGTCTTGGACGATCATGTGGCGTTTATAGTCCAGTGGAAGGAAGTGAGATTGTAATTCTTGACATTCATAGGTTGTGCCTTCTGGCAGGTCAAACAAATGTCTTTGGACTTCATGGGAGGCAGAAAACTTGTCTGTCAGTACAGTCCCTTGTCGATCTTCTGTACTCAAGGCGTGATCTTGGACATTTCTACCTCCATCGATCTTTCTGTGATCACTGTCTTGGTCTGTACAGCTTTAGTAGCAAATGAACGTTCATCGCCGTAGATCATGGCAGACAGGGCGGTCGAATCGAACGTTATAACAATAGCATTGAAAAACCGTTACCTGTCATATTGCAGAGTGTCGATGACGAATAAAATCGTGGAATAGCACTTGATCGAGTGCCAATAGAGGTTGTGCGTGTTACTCACTGTCTACCCTTT